GTTGTCTAGTTTTAGATGTGAATGTGTTGGTGGATCTTTCAGTTGTTCATTTGTGGGATGAAGCAGATTTTTGTATCTGATCGATGAGTATGGACTCAGAAGGATTAATTGATTGCATAATGATTATGACCATGGTGGGGTCTTAGAGAGACGTCGGTTGGAGGCTAAGCATGTGGGTTATCTCTTGCAAGAAGGAGTAATGTTGTGTAATCGTTATGTGGTTTCTCTGAAGAGTTTTTCTTCTATCCAATGGGATATATGTGCTACAATTAGAGTTCGGATCGCTTAAGGAGGTTTGTACAAATGTCACGAGGATGAGTATGAACTTGGAGGATGATTTGGAAGGCGTGATGGCTAATGTTGCATGAGCCTATGAGGTGATTTAGTTAGATGGCAGTGCGAGATCATGACAGTTACAAAGGAAGAGTACAGTGGATTAACAGATGATGTGTTTTATGGCTTCCAGCTAAATAAGGAGTTTACTATCGATGATTAGGTCATATGGACATGTATTGTTATAATTCCTGGACTAGGATATGCTTGTGGATTAGTTATGACTTGAAGGAATGACTTTGAGGATGATTCGAGAAAGAGATTTGTTGGATGCATGATGTACTAGACTTTATGGGTATATAAAAATCTTGAGATCATTCAGGTTTGTTATTCCAATGTGGATGTAGTGTGCAGAAGGAATGAATTTCTCGGTTGCTTCTTTTGTAGTATGCATGTGCCAGAGAAGAGCTAGTTGTTCAGCATATTGGTTATGTATCCAAGACTTGGCCGGAATGAGTGACTCTTGAGGATGGTTGTAGTGTGTTCAAGATTCATGTGTGGTATCTTTAGGATTTGTTGAATTTCGTTGAATGGCTAAGAATTTAAGATTTTTCATGGATGGTGCCGAGACTTGTAGTATTTATATATCATCACTGATTCTACCTGTTGATACCCAATTTTGTCCTACTTTTCTTCTAATTAATTTCATTGTGCTTCCTGGTCATTAATACTCTAATAGTGTTATTAGCTATCTTATGATTATTTATTATCATTAATTTTGTAATTAGTAGTAGTACCATTATTATTATTATTATTATTATTATTATATTTTTATAAATTAACTACTGATTTAAATTGATCTATATGTCTATTATATTATTATTATTATTATGTCCAAATATTTAGACGAGGAAGCCAAGGAAATAAAAAGAAGAAAGGATTTGAATTCCAAAATCAAAGTCCAAAATTTGCTCAAAATTAGCCCGTTTACCTGATCCATTTCGCCAACAAGAAATGGCCCAAATCAATAATGATAAACCCATAATCTAATCCCAAATTAATAAGTCCAAAACCATGAACTCTTCCCTAACCTCACTAGCAGTAGGCTTTTCTTTCCCTTCCATATTTGCACCAAAAGCCCTCTCATATCAGCTATGAACAATGTGTGTTCCTCCATTTTCAACAAAGTCTTCATTTTCTCTCTTGCATGTTAAATGAAAAGCCGAAAACTTTGGTATCGTAGTTGACCAAATCGTTGTGTCTCTAAACCAAGAGGACGATTTTGTTGATCTTCTTTCTGACACATTTTGGACGGATCTGGAACGAGCATGTCTAATTAGCTTCTAGCTAGCTTATTGCTGAACATGTATAATAATTTGTTATTAAAGACACATGTCTTAAATTCTAATTCTTGTCAATTTTAATCACCTAGATGTAAAGATTCTTATAGAAATTCACTGTCAAAACTTTTTTGAAGACTATACACTGAGAAATTTGTTTGGAATTTCTTTGGTTATATAAATCTGATATGAAAGACCCCCTTGTAAGCTTAACCTTTTGCTTGATAACAATGTAAGAACCAATCTAAGTTTATAAAATAATCTGTCAGTGTTTATTCTAGCTTTTCATATAATATTAGTGTAAGGCTATCTTTACTAATCTTTATCTTCCTGTTTTTCTTTATTTGCATGTATACTTTGGAGCAATTTTGAGTCTCAATACGAGACTTGTTGCAGCCATGAAGTCACCACCGCTGCGTTTCCTCCATCATGTTTTCTCTTTTGTAGACTTGATTATTCGTGTTGGATAGAGATAAGAAAATGCCAAAAGTTAATTTTGGCCTCCCTATAAAGGGGATGGATTATCACTGTTATTCTGCTTCCATTTCTATTAACTGCTTTCTTATTGCATATGTTTTATTTACAATTATTCTTAATTAGTTCTTGCATGAACATTTAAGGGTAACAGATATAGTTAAAAATCAAACTAGTAATTCCACTAACACCTAACTATCTAGCAGTGCTTATGAAATCAGTTAAAATGAATAATAATTAAGTCAATATGGGTTGGTCTTAGATTTAGTCCAATTAGAATTTTCCTTACCAAGTATTTTTCTTATCATACTAGATCTGATTGTCCTTTAAATCAATATGATGCTTTGCCTATCTATTAGATTTGGCTTTCTAAACTTTCTTAGTTTCAAGCTTCACCTTTTGCGAAAATGACGTTTTCTTAAGCCTCTACGCATTTTGGAGTTAAAATCCTAAAAAGCAAAATTTTGAGTTTTCAAATGACATACAGTGTTTTGTTGAAATATTTTAGTATTGTAGTCTAATAGTCTTATAAAGCTTTAGTTAGATTACACTAAGTCCGGAAGGTAACTGCGTCTCATGCGAGTCTTGAGGGGTGCGAGGCACCTTCCCCTTAAATTAATTTGAACACTTACCTTAGAATCTCTCATATTTAGTAGACTTTAACGAAGTTTAACTTTACATTACTTAGTTAAAATAGGTGTCCTAATTCGCCTTTAAAATAATTAGGTGGCGACTCTTTAAATAGTAATTAATCACCAATACGTTGTACTTTATTTGACCTGTGTTAAAATTGGATATAACACTACCTTGCAGTATTAGAGAGATGAAAGAAATAGTTACAGATCCACATAAGGTCTATTTAGTACATTTTTGGTTTGAGTTACTTTTGGGATTGACAGTCTGTGTGACTTAACTGATTTAGATAGATCTAGTTCTGATGGCTTGATCGTCCGCTAATGGGTTTCGAAGAACTCACGGTGGTTTTGACCACGACTTCAGGTTGATGTCTTCTATGTTCATGTGAGGTTTGTTATGTGTCGCGATGTTCTCCTAGATTAAGTTAAATATAAGATTTCTGGTTAGTGAAGTGTTTATCCTACTCGTGATTTAGAGTTGATGATGAGGTTCACGTATTTTCATATTGTAGCATGGTAGATGCAGTGAGGTCATGAGGTACTGGGATTGTATGGCTAAGACTGTAGTTTAGTTCAGAAGAAAGGTCGGGAGTTTTAGACATCAAGGGGAATTTCAGATATTTAAGAGGATGCTAGCACTATCTTGTATCGCTTGAGAAGAGTATGTATTGTGGAAGACACATTGTGTATTGATTTGAAGATGCTTGACTAGCATTTCAGTAATCGCCTGGTTGTTGACTAGACATTAATTTGTTTAAAGTCACTACATCAATGGCACTTGACCTTGTGTGTCTCTCAATCGCATTAATTTGGATATCCACATTAGATAAGAATATGCATTCATCATCACGAATCTACTTTTTTAAAATTCAAATACACTCCATTTTCTCTTTTCATTATTTATTTACTAGACAACCACTACTCAAGTATGCCCCATATCTCTAGACAAATAATGAGCTCCACCATTTTTTTACATCTCCCAAAATCCCTCTTGTCCTCTTTTTGAGAAAATTTTATCGTTGTCATGCTTCTTTTTTCACTTTATTTAAAACCTCGCCAATTTCTTTTTCACCTGCACTTCGTCCTCAAGATGATGCTTGTACTTCGCTTCCATTATTGAAAATGGTTTTGCACGTCACTTAGAAAGAACCATCTTCTACTTTTCCGATGATAGTGGTTTCTTGTATTGAGTTAAATAGAAGAAAAGTAATGTCACCTTGCATACTCGAATCTAAAGAGCTGGGAGTTTTCTATTTAGATTTTGGAAAAAAGTTATCTATATCTTGTAGCTTTTTGGGGCTTTGGTATTCCGTCATATGCTTTATGTTTGAAATTTTTATCTTTAACGCTTTTCTAGTCCAACAATTATGCTGGTGTCTTCTTTTTTAACATATAAAATATAAATGAGAGTTTCCACAATGTTCTCACGAAAATCTAACCCTTTGTTCTTCACTCATTTTGCTCGTTTCAAACTCTTGCTTCTGTAATTACTTCCCCTATTCCAACCAACATTGCATTAGCAGCCAGGGAAAGGGTGGAGGGAAGAGAGAATTTGAAGATAGGAATGAAGGTGTTATCCGTTTACTTTAATTTTTTTCTTTTCATTTTCTTATTTTAGCCGCTTTTCTAACCAAAAATAAGGGGCCATATTTGTCCATCTAGAATTCAAAATTGAGCAACTTTATCCCTCTTTAGACTTTTGGTCTCATATTACCTATGTCACTATAAAAAGATCTCCTTTTTTCCTTGATCACTAATGAAAATCTAATTTATGCACAATCTTAAAATAAATTTAAAAGTAAAGGAGTAAATTTCAATATTTTTTTCTTGAAGAATTTGGCTACATGGAACTCACCAATTTGTTAGTACTCCTTGAACGACAAGGAAAGGCACGAGACAATTTGTTAAAGGCAAAAGATATGAATAAACAAAAATGTGTAATGAGGGAAAAATTGAGAAACTCAAGATAGTATAAGACAACTTTGACCTTTTCCTTTGATCAAAATCACTCTCTATTCATGCTCATTTAAAATAATACATCAAAAACTCATGAAATTGAAGGATGAAAAATAGAAATCGTTTTAAGTAGGTATATTTGCTATTAAGCCTTAATTATAAGCATTACTCTCTTTGTCTCGGTTTGTGTGGCATTGTTCAGATTTTGAGGGCAAAATAAGTTTTTCCTTGATTTCATATATCTTTTAAATATTTTAAATTAATAATTATTATAACTTGCAGTATTTTGAATAACCCACAAAAGCGAACCTAATCTGAAAAATTTACCCTTCCAGCGAGGCTGAAAATGCAATTAGCTGGCTACAAACAAACAGACAGTTCTCTGCTCTCTTGTCTTGTAGGAGTAGCAGTAGGCTGTAACAAGGTTGGCGGTGGTATGCTAAGTGAGGCACGTTTTCCATCTCTTGGCTCTCTTTTCTCTCGAATCCTCCGTTCTTCCCTCCACCACCACCGCCACCACCAACAACAACTAAGTTCAACATCAAACCTACCATTTTCTCTTTCACCTTATCTGATGTCGATTTCCACCAAAATCCCGCACCCTCTCCTCCATCACCCTAATTCTCCATCCCTTAATAAAGCCCTAAAACCCTCTTCTTCTTCTTTACATTCTACACCCAATAAATTAACCTTCTTTAGATCCATTACTATTGAAAAAATCTCCACAAAATCAATTTTTGCTACTCCCACAAGTGCTTCTTCACAACCCTCATCACCTCTCCAACCCATTGAAGAGCTCCCACCGAAACTCCAAGAAATCGTCAAACTCTTTCAAGCAGTCGAACAACCAAAGGCTAAATACGAGCAACTCTTATTTTACGGTAAAAATTTAAACTCACTTGACGCAAAATACAAGACCACTGAAAATAAAGTTCAGGGTTGTGTTTCACAGGTTTGGGTTAGGGCTTATTTTGATTCGGAGAAAAATGTGATCTTTGAGGCTGATTCTGATTCGGTACTCACTAAAGGGCTTGCTGCTTTGTTGGTTCTGGGTCTATCTGGTCGGCCCGTTGAAGAGATTATAAAAGTTTCACCTGATTTTGCTGTCCTTTTAGGGCTGCAACAAAGCTTAACTCCTTCTAGGAATAATGGGTTTTTGAATATGTTGAAGCTGATGCAGAAAAAGGCACTGCAGTTGTACGTTGAAGCTGAAAAGGCTGCTGATTTAGGCCATAGCGAATCCTTAAATGCCTCGATTGAGGCTTCTTCGTTGGGCAGTGTTAATGTTAATGGAAATGTTGAGTCTAGAGAGAGTACTGATGTTAGTGGGAATAATGTGAGTGGTGGTGGTGGTGATGATGGTGTTTTGAGGAGTAGAGGGATGAGAATTAAAGAGAGGCTGGAGAAGGAACTTAGGCCTGTCGAATTGGAAGTTGAAGATATATCTTATCAGCACGCAGGGCATGCTGGGGTTAGAGGCAGTGACGGAGAGACACATTTTAATTTAAGAGTGGTTTCTAAGGAATTTGAAGGGAAGAGTTTGGTTAAGAGGCATAGGATGATTTATGATTTGCTGCAAGATGAGTTGCAGAATGGATTACACGCGTTGTCAATCGTGGCGAAGATGCCCTCTGAACTCTGAAGTTGGTAGTAGATGAATTGAACGGCCGGCGTCTAGAGAGGTCTGGTCCTGTAAACTTTTCGTCCTTGTGGATTTTATTGAAATTTATACCTCATAGTAACTAATAGCATGACACCCTGAGAAGTACTGGATTCTTTCTTTTGTCATGAGCATCTGAATAAAGTAGTTATTGAAGTATTTAAAACTAAGTTTTTCTTTCCCTCCCAAGAATTAGATCAATACAGAGCTTCAATTGTCTTATCTACTGTTGTAATTTGGTTGCTTCAATCTTATCCAAATTTCTTTGTGACATACTTAGACTTAGGTTTGGACATGCTAACCAAAATTCAGGAATGGTAAACTCAATATTTTGAGCGCCAGAATTGTGCAAATTATTGTCCTGCTAGCAATCAAATGTTTATCCATTTATTCTGCAACGACATGGTAATTTTTTTCTAATTTCAGCTCAACTTAATGAAATACAATTACAATTATCTTTTGTTAGTAGTTTTACAATGTGAAGCCTTTCATGTTTATGATAACTTTAGAACAACAACAGTTATCAAAAAACTTAAGAACAACAGCAACAGCTATACCTCTGGGGATGATATATCTAAAGAAGTCTTATCTCTGGGGAACTATGATTACGGTCTCAATGAACCAAAGTGATCCACAAATTCTGCTGAAGTACTGCAGGAAGTGATAATTTGAGTTGCATTAATTTTGTTATCTGAAGGTTCTTGCACGTATTTATGTATGCTATAGAAAGATTTGTTATATGCCACTTTTGCTCTTGTTACTTTATTTAATTTTGACCAAGCACATCAACGACCCCTTATACTTGTCAAAGTTTTTAATTTAGATACCTTATCTAAGGGTATGACCTATTGAACACCCGATTTTAGCTGAAAATATACCTATTAAACACTCCATTAACAATAATTTTAAAGAACACGACACATGATGGTTAAACGTGCTGATGTGGCAAAATGTCAAACGAAAACAGGACACATGGCCGACTATTTTGACTTTTGGTCCTTCTTCGCTTCTTTCTTCTCTCTCTCTCGCACGCTCGTGTTTTACACCCAAACCTATCTACTAGGGTACATACTTGGGTGGAGTTCTAGCGCTTGAAGCCTTGAACAGGGGTGTATTGATGCTGGCATTTGCACGCAAAGAGAGTGATGAAAATAAAGGAAGATCTAGTGCCCCTTTGAGTTACAAATGACCGGAGGGTGGATTCATAATGTTCACTGTTGACTTTGTTGCCTTCTTCTGGATGTCACCATTCAAGTCCATGGTGACACTTCTAATTTATAGTTCTCTATACAATTCAACCTCCATCACAAGCAAGATTCCTGAGCCCTGTTATCTTTTCCTGACTTAAATTCCTCAGAAGTTCAAACCGCATTTGATTCTATTTGCAGTCCGTCTTCATACACGAATACTGCCATTTCTATCCTTGAAGGCAAAGATCAAGAACACAATTGGACCCTTCACAAGTAAGAAGTAGTGATAATGGTGAAAGAGACATCATTGTAACGAGGCTGAGAGTGGAGTTTCATCTCTTGTTTTAAGAAGCATAAGATATCCTTTCAACTTCTTTAGGGATGTATGCCCGAATATATAACCCCCCTCTCTCTCTCTCTCTCTCTTTTTATATATACATATATAGTGTTTCGAGGTATGATTTTCAAGGATGATTTAAGGTGCATCAGGGTGCTGGTTATGTAGAGGGAGAGATTTGTTGGGTCTGTCTGATGGGGTGTTAGTGCTGCTATGCTTGTGATTCTTGACTTCATGCTGGTCTTCTCAGCTACAATCTGGTGGTGAGCACCATGAGGTAAGTGTAGAATATTGTGCTTGAGTGTATGTGTCTGTTTGTGCTGATGGCCTTGGGAAGAAGCTTGGTATTTGATGGAGTTAAGTGTCATGCTCTAAAGATGAAGAAAAGGAGGAGAAAGGAAAAACAAAACGAAAAATTTGTCTTTTTTTTTTCTTTCTATTGGCATGTGGTTTTGGACTTATGTCAGCTTAAAATAAACTCAGCTCACGCTCTCAAAGGGTGTGTAATACAGATATTGTGCCATGTCAGTGCATTATTAATAGGTAAATTTTCAACTATAATATCGGGTGTTCGATAGGTTAGACCCTTATAAGGTGTTTAAATGGAAATTTTTACCAAGCTCAGGGGCTGTCAATGTACTTGACCATTTAATTTTGGAAAAATGTAATATACAGAAATAATTACTAGTTTTTTTTTGGGATGGGGGGTTGGGGTGGGGGGAGCATGGGGATGGTGAAGAAGTTAGATATTGCTGCATTCTTGGGCTTTTGAGAAAGTTTCCTTCAGACTAGTATTTGTGGTTCTACTTGATTGTTTACAGATTTTAATTCCCCTTTTGTTAATTTCAATTTGGTTACTTCACCGGCTAAGGGTCAAGTTGATTGGTAATTTTATAAGAAAAATAATAAAAAGGACAAAGACCTGCTGATTCTTTTTTCTTTTTTTAAAATTTTTTGAAGCCCGGACACGTGTTAGTGCTTCTTCCGCTATATTTCCCTCAGTGTTATCAAAGGCGTGCTTAAGCCCTAATGCGAGGCTCAAAACATGTTGAGCGCTTCAGTGTTGTTATCAAGGTTCCAAGACATACTTTTCCTTGCCAATGAGTGTAATCTTGAAGAGGCGACACTAAGCAATTGATATTTTACTTTGTCGTAAATTTTTTTCAATTTCTTTGTCCTTATATTTGGTATTCATGCTTATTGATATTATCTTGGGCTACACATACATATTTATGTTTTTTCTCCATTTGCGCCTTTTTTCATTAAAGCCCACCTTAGAGCTTTTTTGCGCTTTTCGCCTTTGATAACGTTGATTTCCCTCAATTTAAACTAATCCGGACTACATATTATCTATGAGGTTTGATATTTTTAAAAGCTTCTTAGCAAATCAATGACTTCTGTATCCCTTCATTATTTCGGAACAATTTGTTTTGTTAGCTGCATTTATTGTAGAAGAAAACCAACTCTGAAAATGATGTCTTGCCGACGTATGATTTGTTTTCATGTAAAATGCGTGGCAACCTGTGCCTTTTTACTAGAGAACAATGCTACAATGTATGAGAAGTGTTTAGCTAGCTAATTCATACGGATAGGTGTGGAACTCTGGGGATTAGCCTTGTATTTTTCAGTGGCTGAAGTTGACTTAACCAACCCTTATAAGGTGTTTAAATGAAAAACTTTACCAAGCTTAAGGGGCTGTATTGCTGCATTCTTCGGCTTTTGGAAAGTTGCCTTCAGACTAGAATTTGTTGTTCTACTTGATTGTTTACAGATTTCAATTCCCCTTTTGTTCTTTTTAATTTGGTTACTTCACCAGCTAAGAGTCAAATTGATTGGTAACGTTATAAGAAAAAATAATAAAAAGGACAAAGACCTGCTGATTCTTTTTTTGAAAAGTTTTTGGAGTCCGGACACACGTTAGTGCTTCTTTCGCTGGCTGGCTATATTTCCCTCAATTTAACTATTCCTGACTACGTATTATCTATGAGTTCTGATAGTTTTAAAAGCTTCTTAGCAACTTAATGAGTTCTGTATCCCTCCATTTTTCGGAACAATTTATTTTTATTAGCTGCATTTATTGTAGAAGAAAACTGATTCTGAAAAATATGTCTTGCCGACGTATGATTTATTTCCATGTCAAATGTGTGGCAACTTATGCCTTATTGCTAGAATACAATGCTGCAATGTATGAGTAGTGTTTAGCTAGCTAATTCATATGGATAAGTGTGGAACTCTGGGGATTAACCTTGTATTTTTCAGTGGCTGAAGTTGATTTCACCGACGTGGTCTTACTAAAGGGTCATGCCTTCTACGTTTTTGTTTTCTTCCTTTTTTGACATTTATTCATTCTTTTCTCCTGTTGATAATAATGGCTGAAGTTCCTTCCAAGGATGGGTGTATATCGATCATTAGCAATTCTGCTGGTGTAGTTGATTATAACAACAACAACAACAACACACCCAGTAAAAATCCCCCGGTGTAGTTGATTATGTGAGGCACATAATTTGTAGTTGATTATATGAGGCACATAATTTGTTTGTTTGCGACCTACACACTTTTTACATTTGTTGGTTGTGCAATATTTTGTGATGAGTCTTTGATTATCACGTAGTACTTGTGCAGGATTAAGATCTATCTTTACAATTCAAATCATCTAGTCCAATTTCTATTACTACGTTAGTTTGCACTTTATCCATCTTGTGTGCATCAATGTGGAGTATATACTAAAGGTCTCCTGGTATTGCTGCTATTTTCAAGTTTCAGGCTGATCAAACCACTTTATATGCAGATTTTTTGCCTGAGCTTTCCCAGTTGGGAGAGAAATTTATGCATATATTATGTGTTAGTTACCTTGAATGGAGCATATTTTCATATCATGCCTTTTATTCAAATAGCAACTTGGCATAAGACACTGGGTTCAGTAGACTCGACTGAGTATGAAATACTATGCTGTTATTTAAAGAAATTAAAACAAAGAAGAAACAAAGATTGCCAATTGTATCGCAACTTTTGGGACTGGAGTCTGGTGCTTCTTTGGATCCTTGGGATTGTGCATTACCATGACTTAAATACTGAAGATGAAAAACATATAGCTTAGTTGTAGGGAAATGGTGGTGTTGGGATTTTATGGTTCGAAAGAGAAGGGAAGCTTTTAAGAATTTATCAGGTGGAGCAGCACATTTTGCTCCATTACTGTTATGTGATCCATTACTGTGAAAGAATATTTTTGTACGTTTCCATCTTATTAGCAAGAACAAATAGAACTCAACTGGCATTGTTGTATACCAGTATTTATCGTATGGAAGAAGTCATCTTTCTGCCTTTTCACCTACAACTATATACGGGCGCTAAAAGCACCCGGCAATGGACTTGTCATCGGCACCATTTCCAAAAAAAAAAAGGACTTGTCATCTCTAATTAGCATCTGCTATGCAATCAGTAAAGAGTTAATACTGTTTTAATTCTCATCTTGTAAGGTTCTCTTATCAACAGTTCTGTTCTTGCTTTCTTTTGAAGTTTGAGAGCTAGATTTGATGCAAATAAACTAAGCTAAACAACAATTACCTACTGTCTTTCTCCTCCGTTTTGACTTAAATATTGTACTAGTTCATTTTCTATTAGACGCTCTGAAAGTATAGCTCGATATTACAATACTAGTGTATCATTCTAACTCCTCCAACAGATGTATTTACCAATCCCCAACAACTTTAAACAACATGTTAGCTTTGTAAGCATTAAAATACTTAGCAAAGTATTGAAAGAGTTATGGGGCATTACATTCTCCACTGCTTAAAAACATTCATGTTGGCCCCAGTGGCCTTTATTCCTCCAAAATTATTCTTCATATATAGAAGCCGCTTGGAAGCAGGTCAGGGTCGTCATGCCTGCTTCCAAAGGGCTATTTTAGTCTTTTCGTTAATTTTGCTAACAGTTAACACGTGTAGGGTAACTTTGACGGGTGGTGCGATATAAGACCTCCCTCTGCCAGCGCTTAATCCCTCCTTCTGTTCATCCTCTTTTTTTCTCTGCTTCAATGATCGATTTCTTTCTATGTTATAGTGATTAAAAACGTGGTTCAAATAAGAAAATTGGTAGATTAACAAATTCTGTGACTGGCTTGGTTTCTACAGCTGAACTGGTTAGTTTGCACTTCCTATTGTTCTTTGTCTTTGTTTTATATTTTATTGTACCAGTTATTTATTCGGAAAAAGGTTTAAAATTGCTGCAATTTATGGGTGTTGCTGTGTATTCTTGTTTTTTTATGCTTTACCTAATTTTTTACTTGGCAAANGCAATTTATGGGTGTTGCTGTGTATTTTTTATTTTATTTTATGCTTTACCTAATTTGTTACTTGGCAATTCTATATGCTTAACCTAATTTTGAGCTGTAAAATTGGAGCTTAAACCTAATTTCTTTGGCTTGTTCCCATTGCTAAGCTTGAAATTCAACTAATCTTCTACTTAGAGAACGTACTCACCCAGAGCTTATTTCTAATTTGAGATGCGTATACACGTGATGGGAGCATGACAGAGTAGACTTCATAACATTGGAGTGAGCCTCTTCAGTTCTGTGGTTAAGAGTGGTAATTCCAATTGAAAAAGCCCTAAATTTGTTTTTCTCATTCCCACTCGCATTCTTTGATAATAGATTGGTTGATTTTAGCTGTTCCGAGATTGATGTTATCAGTTTAATGTTCGGTACTTATAGTTGCAGCCTTGCAGGTTAAGGTTATGTGAAGGTTTTAAATATTAGTTTCGAGTCATAAAAAATGAAGGCCAATACATTCAATACTTGACAAACAAATTGTTATTTCATCTTTCCCCAATTTGCAATTGCTTTTATGCTCTTCTAGATTCTGCATTTAGTTCGTTTTGGCTGTTTTAAGGTACTAAATGATTTTTCTTTATTTAGGTGTTGCATTTAATCTGGTTTATCGTTTATTCATGTATACTGTATCATTTTGTTAACTCACTTGCTAGAGAGTTGTTTTAGTTAGATAGGTTCTCTTTCATGTCAGGTTACATTGTGAGTTCTTTCTACTGTTGTTTCTGTTGCATTCAGTCTTGTTTCAAGTTTCTCAGATTATCCATTGGTCTTCCTCTGATTTTCTTATATATCTCTATTTTCGTCCTCTTAGTTAAACTAGCCCATTGTCACTGCCAGTTAGGACTCCATGTGTTTAGGGTAGCCTTGCTATTAAATCAGTATAGCACACATTTCTATATTTTACTTTAGATCATCTTCTGTTCATCTTAAGGTTTAAATGTTTAAAACGATACTTAAACAGCTCTTTGTGGTTCCATAATAATTACTCATGGAGGATTCTTCTAGCTTCAGGATATAAAATTCTTAAGCTAACTCTTATATTAGGTATTTTTCATACTATTCATCCTTGACTATTAATAGTTACTACTTTTCATGGTTATACATTTGTTAAATTACTTATTTCATTGGGAAACATTTTGCATGTGCAGAAGTTAAGGTGACCACTTTGGGGAAAAAACCCCTTATCTGCTCTTGAAGTTCTTTTCTCTACATCTATTACGTATTTAAGAATAGGTCAATGTCGTTCGGAAGGAAAATCACACCTTCATTGGCATTTTTAAGAGCCGAAATTCAAGGATTTGCGACACTCTATTCTTCTGTGCTTAGGACATACGATTCCCTCTAGGTATTCTGTTTATGTTGTTACTATATTATTTTAATTATTATTAGGGTAAACAACACAATTTCACAATATTTTCTTCTTAGTTTCTCCTCTGGTGAAGTAATGCTTGAATAGAGTTCTTTTGTTAAAGCCTAAAGAAATATCTCAGATAAAAGAACATGCTCAATGTAAACTGGTAGGATTACATGAAATCGTGATAGAGTGACACTTCATATATTAACTAACTTTTCATAAGGTGCCGAGAGATTTATCTAAGGTGAGTTGCTACAAAGATCCTTAAATCATAGGTTTAAGTAACTCTTCGTGATGCGTTGCAAAAGGATCCTCCTGGTCCATTCTTGTTCTTTATTTACCCCATATTCTACTCCACAATCAGTGGGTGCATGAGTGTTCCGCACGACATATAAATTACCAAGTGGATCCCATCTTCTCCTGATTTCTTGCACATGAAGCTCCATGTATGGTCGACAGGTTTTATTTTTCCTTTTATTTAAAATTTGTCGTTACTAATTCTAAATAAGGGTCTTACTTTGTACTCTAATTTGCCTTCTAGCAATTTGGAACGTTTTGTTTTGCTAATTGTACCCGCTGATACGTGGTCTTAGTATCTAAATATACTGTCTAACTTTGTATCTACTTGTAGGTCTCGATTATCCATTTTGTTATTAAATTAATAAAAATGGAGTATAATAAATTTACTGGGCTCTACGTTGACTTCCTTTTGCGCTTTCTTCATGTTGTTGTAATTTATATATTGACTTTGTACCTTGTTTGTTGTATGTCACTTTATTTTTGAATTATGCAGCTTCGTTAAAGTAAAGCTTTAGCCAAGCCATGAATAGATCAATGAGTTTCTGTTAAAAATTGATTACGTTCACCATTTTTTCACTATTTCAAAGAGTTTTCTTTCCTTTTTGTTCCAATATTTTTCATCTCCTGACTTTTGAATGCGTACAAGGAAAACTCAAGTTTCCAGGCTTCAATTACAGTAAAAGTTCTGCCTAGAATAAGTTAAAGCTATTACTTTTGCTACTTCATTTCTTATATGTCACATTCTGTGAATTATGGAACTTTATGAACATAAAGCGTTGACATAATTGTTAATAGGTCAAGGATTTTGTGGTTTGTTCCATCTATCTGTTATCTTTTTTCTCGATTCATTTGTGGTGTAAACTGTCATATTTTTAGTGATGTATAAATATTGTAGTGATAGAACTATTTGGACATTTGTAGTGTGTCTATACTTCCAATTGAACTATAAATCTCTGTTAAACTTTTATAGATTGCTCGAACTGCAGATGTCGACCGATAAAAAACCTTTGGCATCATCTTGCTGCCCGTAGAAAAGGAAGCAATACTCGGTAGAAACAGTTTCTAAAATTAACGATAGGAGACGTGATCTGTACAAACAGTTGCCAGGTGATAAAAGAGAGTTGCTTTTAGCGCAATGACGATCAAAAAAGCTTGAACTAAAAAAGGGTCAAAGCGTGCTACTTAAATATGCCAAACAAGCTGCTGGGTTTGAATTATCGACACCAAAACTCTAACAATTGTTGAGCCACTATGTCTTATCCCGACAGATTAAAAGCAAAAAATGATTTAATCCAGAAAAAGACCCATTTACACACTCTTTGTAGACATAAATATATGCATGTATATATGTGTTATGTTTCGTGATTATACTTAAATACAATTTTCTCTTGCTAAACATATTTGGATTCGGATGTTAGCCGGTATATCTTCCATTGCCGGCCCAGTAGCTGGTTGTGACATAGGAAAAAATATTACCGATCACTTCTCCGTTTTTGAACATGGTAAGTGAATGAAAATATGTTGTTTCAGTTTGATTGTACTCTCTTTTAGTATATTAATAAGAATTGTTTGTATATTAGGCTCGACCTCTGGTGCATCCTATGACCAACACCATACTGAGACATCTGTCGTCACAAATAAAGGTTTGTCTCGCTTTAATCTTATCACAACATTTATTACTGCTCTCTTCTCAACACTAATATAGGATATATTTATTTTGTTGTAGCAATGGTTCAGTTAAATTGATGTCACATGAAATGCCTAATGAACTCTTGAATCTATATTTAGGCAATACCGAAGAATCGGAACACTTCCGTACCTACCTTAGACTATACAACAATATGTTTGCATTTACTTCACTTGGAGTGAACTACGACAAAGCACTAGCAAAAAGAAACCAAGGAATTTATACATTTAAAGTACAAGGTCAAATGTATCACTTCATAAATGATTTGATTCCAACAAATCGTCAACCAAGAAATTTACAGTTGTATTTTTATGATGAGAACACAGAAATATTTAATCGAATGGCTTCCTCTGATATACTTCGATAGTCGGTTGTTGAGAAGCTAATGGATATACTGAAGATAAATCCTTATTGTATCTTCTTGAAATATCTGATACATATCCCAGAATTATCAAATTTTTATATTGCATTGAGATGCGGCTTTGGCTTAGATCAACGAATATATAACTTGCCAGCTGTGTCAGAGGTAGCAGCATTATGGTTAGAACAAGAAACAAACAATAATAGCTCCGCACCCCATATCCGCATTTATACTCACAGTAACAAAAGCCAGTTAGTAAATTACTACTATGGCTGCTATGATCCTTTGCAATATCCGCTTTTATTCCTTATGGTCAAAACGGATGGCATTGCGGTATTCCAAAAATCGTGTAACCTAACAATAAATTGAGAAAGCGAGCTTACTATGAGACTGAGCAGCTTCCGAGCGTTTCTAACATGTCTTCAATTGATGGACTACTTGATATGGAAGCTGATGTTTTGGAAAAGGGGAAACGGAAAAGGAATAATATTTCTTGTCGTGAATACTACTGTTACAAACTCCAAATGAGAGACAATGAAGAAAATGACGTTTTACATTTTGGCAGATTATTTCAACAATACTCAGTTGATGAATTCATAAAAATAGAAACTCAGAGGTTAGATTTTGCCTCATTTAACCAAGATTTATTTCGGATTGATGTACTACAAGGACTTTTGGATATCCTAAGACTTGGCGAAAGAGAAGCTTCTAAGACAGTAAAACAAAACTTTCTTCCGACAAGTTTTACGGGTGGTCCGAGAGATATGCGCCAGCGTTACATGGATGCTATTGCGTTAGTGCAACATTTTGGAAAACCTGATATATTTCTGACCATGACATGTAATCCCTCTTGGCCCGAAATTAAGCAACATTTGCTCCCAACAAATGAAACTCAAAATAGGCCTGATTTAATTAGCCGAGTGTTCAAAGCAAAGGTAGAAGAGATCAAGACAGAGATATTAAAAAGAAACATATTTGGAAAAGTTGCAGCTTATATGTACACTATAGAATTTCAAAAACGCGGTCTTCCACATGCTCATTTTCTTATTATACTTACTGATGACTACAAGTTATTAACGCCTGAGGCTTATGACAAATTTGTCTGTGCTGAGCTGCCCGATCCTGATACAAACTCTTACTTACATAAGCTTGTTATTAAACACATGATGCATGGGCCTTGTGGCCATTTAAATCCTACTAATTCATGTACGAAAAGAAATGAGTGTAAATTTAAGTACCCCAAGAGCTTCGTTGGTGAGACAACAAAAGGAAAGAACTCATATCCGATTTATAGAAGATGAAACACTGGTAAATCTGTAAAAGTTAGAAAATAATTTCTTGATAACTCATGAGTTGTTCCTTATAATCTTTATCTGTTGTGCAAGTATAATTGTCATATAAATGTAGAGGTTTGCTCTGATATTAAAGTGTTGAAATATATATACAAAATATATTTGTAAAGGGCATGATATGATTTCATTTGGCTTACACGAAGATAACACAAATATACAAATAGATGAGATAAAAGAGTATCAATCTGCTAGATGGGTGTCACCTCCGGAAGCTATGTGGCGTTTATTTGCATTTGCTATCAATGAAATGACTCCAAGTGTTTATCACCTCCAGCTACATCTTGATGGACTACAGTTTGTCTCTTTTAAAAAAATTGACACAATAGACAATATCCTGAAAAACCCTATGATTAAGAAAACAATGCTGTCAGAATTTTTTTTGATGAATGAAACAAACAAAGATGCTAAAGAACTTAAGTTGTTGTATAAAGATTTTCCGCAATACTTCTTATGGTCATCTACCTATAAAATGTGGACTCGACGACAACGAGGTCATATTATCGGCCGTGTTGTAACATGTCATCCAACAGAAGGAGAAAGATATTACCTTAGATTATTACTAATGAATGTGAGAGCTCCAAAATCATTTGAAGATCTTCTGAGAGTAAAAGAGATATGCTGCGACACATTTAGAGAATCTGCGGAAAAAAGAGGATAGTTGCACTGCGACAACAGCTTGGTTGAATGTATGTCAGAGGCTGTATGTTATCAAATGCCTTATAGTTTAAGATGTTTATTTACTACAATATTAGTACATTGCAGCCCCGACAATCTAAGGGAACTGTGGGAACAATTTGAAGCTTCAATGTCCGAAGACTTTAAGAACCTAGCCAATGTAACGGCAAAAGATATCCACCTTGTTGTCCTAAATCACATTAATGATATACTATATTCTATGGGCCATGATATTAATGAGTTCAACCTTGTTTCCGAAACTATCACATCTTCGAAAATGGCAAATGAAGCGAAGGAAGTATATTTCGAAAGAAGCATCATTGTGAGTAACGAAGATTTACTGATGCATAGAAAATTAAATAAAGAACAGAAAATGGCATACAACGTTATCCTTCAGAGAGTATTTGCCAACAAATCAGGAGTATTTTTTATTGATGGTCCTGGAGGAAGTGGTAAGACATTCTTATATTGTGCCTTATTAGCAATTGTGAGATCTAAAGGATTTGTAGCATTAGCAACAGCAACCTCCGGTGTTGCAGCTTCGATCCTTCCGGGAGGACGAACAGTTCATTCACGTTTTAAATTTCCGATTAATATCGATGAAAAGTTCTCTTGCAATATCAGTAAGCAAAGTTCACTAGCGTCTTTGATTCGCGATGCAAATTTAATTGTGTGGGATGAAGTATCGATGGTGAAAAAAAACATGATTGAAGCATTAGACTCTTTTCTGAAAGATATAATGGATACAAATATACTTTTTGGTGGAAAAGTTGTTGTGTTTGATGGAGATTTTAGACAATCTCTTCCTGTGGTTCGAAGTGGAAAAAAAAAAGACTTCATTCGAGAAAGCATATTGAACTCCGAAATATGGAATGAGCTTGAAAAACTACGATTATCAGAGAATATGCGTGCGAAAACTGATCCATCTTTCTGTGAATATTTGATGCGAATTGGAAATGGAAAAGAAAAGACAAACATGGATGGTAAAATAAAAATTCCGAGGTCTTTCATTGTTCCTTATATTACTGAAAAAGAATCACTGGATTTTTTATTTAACATAATATATCCTGATTTGCATACGCGTCTTCACGACAACTTCCCATGTTAAAGGAAAAATAAAACCTGTCGACCATACATGGAGCTTCATGTGCAAGAAATCAGGAGAAGATGAGATCCACTTGGTAATTTATATGTCGTGCGGAACACTCATGCACCCACTGATTGTGGAGTAGAATATGGGGTAAATAAAGAACAAGAATAGACCAGGAGGATCCTTTTGCAACTCATCACGAAGAGAGACTTGAACCTATGATTTAAGGATCTTTGTAGCAACTCACCTTAGATAAATCTCTTGATAAATAATAGACTTATAGCTCAATTTCCTAATGACTCCAAGACATTTGTTGTAATGGATGAAACTGTTGAATCCAATGATCAGAGCCAGTTTGAGGGTTTTCTACATTCATTAAACCCTACCGGTTTGCCTCCTTACAAATTAATCTTGAAGAAAAATTAAAATTGTCCTGTTATGTTGCTGCGAAACTTAAATCCTTGTGAAGGTTTATGCAATGGTACACGACTAGTATGCTGTGATTTTAAGAGCCGTGTGTTATAAGTGCTAAAATTGCAAGCGGTGATTTTAAAGATACACATGTATTTATTCGTAGAATACTGTTGTTATCTTCAGATAATGAGAAGTTACCTATCCCATTTAAAAGAACACAATTTCCAATACGCCTGTGTTTTGCAATGACAATAAATAAAGCGCAAGGACAAACATTAGATTATATTGGTATTTATTTACGCGAGCCAGTGTTTTCTCATGGTCAGCTATATGTTGCTTTATCAAGAGCAAAAGGTTCAAATCGTATAAAAATATTAATCCACCTACCATAGATAACGATTATGACCAATCTACATATAACATAGTATACGATGAAATCATTCAAAAAGTCCTTCTATAACTTCGCAGCTTTGTTGTTCATATTCCTTGTGTGACCATACATGCACTAAATAAGAGTTGGCTTATGTATTTGCAAATCCTTGCTAAATTTTTACTTTTCTCAAATGTTTACATTGTGAAATTTCCCGAGCAACAATCAGTGGAAATATTCGTCTTTCCAAATCTATATGTACAAAAGCTTATTACATATTTATCTGATTTTTGTTCAACTCTGTGAAGCTGTCCTGGCTGATTTTTACATAACGAAAAAAATTCATGTTTTTAACTCCTTCCGTGTTCAAATAATATTGTGACACAATCGGTGGAAATATTCGTCTTTCCAAATCTATATGTACAAAAGCTTATTACATATTTATCTGATTTTTGTTCAACTCTGTGAAGCTGTCCTGGCTGATTTTTACATAACGAAAAAAATTCATGTTTTTAACTCCTTCTGTGTTCAAATAATATTGTGACACAGTCGGTCCCAAGCCCAGACAAAGGAGGAGGGTCTATTGTCTATTGGTATAACAGTTGTATTTTTATTTTTCCAGTTGCACATACTCACAGTGAATTGGTAATGTTACTATGTATTTAAATTTATTCATTTATTATTAAAATATATATGCTGCTCTATCAAAATTATTTCCTCTTATAAAATTTTATATGCCACAATTCAATATGTTGGCAAAAGAGAATCTATTGTTCATCTAAAAAACGAAATGAGAATTAAGTTAAAAACTTATTCATCTTATATTTTGATGCTTTTATATTCCCTTACTGCTTAGTAACACGCGTAATCTGTATTGCAGGTATGTCAAAGTGATCCTACAAAGTAAAATGCTTCCACATCTTGGTACTAAAAGGTATTGTGACCCTAACCAAGTTGCAATATAGTAATTTCATTTTCTACCTTAAACATTGTTACATTTCTTTATTTTGTATAGATATCTTGGCATATTTCAATGATGTCATCAGTTTTACTACCGGAAAATGGTTGGACAATTTGTTCAGATATAATATTCGTTATCTTGTTTTTGCATTGCTACGATGGATACAATTTCTAGAAAAAACCATAGATTTTTAAGACTTTACACAGTGATTATGTTTCATAACTTGTGTATTTGTTGTTTATTTTTCTTAATAATGAAGGGAATAGGTCCGTCTCATATTTATGATTATTTTATAGTTATATATGATATAGAAACTCCATAATAAGAAAAAAAATTGTTGCTCTGCAACTTTTGTGGGTAGTGATTTTACTTTTTAAAATCAGATATAAAATTGGCGTAGGGACAGCTGAGGGGCTGCGATATCTTCATGAGGGAGATCAAAGAATAACTATCCACAGAGATATTAAGGCTGCAAATATATTGCTTACTAAGGACTTTGAATCTCAGGTATTATTATGATTGTCATAGTTGTTATTGGTATAAAGTAACCTCTACTTACTGGAGATAGTATTTTAAGTTTCTCACTTACTGACCTTAGTATCATATGAATCCTAATGAATCTTGTGTAAAGGGTCTCAGCTGCTTGAGCCTTGAATATTTCCTTTTTGTCTTTCAGATTTGTGATTTTGGCCTTGGCAAATGGTTGCCAGAGTGATGGACTCACCTCACTGTACCAAAATTTGAAGGCACATTTGAGTTAGTATACTGTTGAGAGGAGATTCATATGGGGTGGACTGCCTCAAACTTGGTAAGTTTCAAAGTTGTTTTAAGTCATAATGGAGTAAACAGAGATAAATCCAATATTTTAATAACAAGTGCAATCACAGTTACTATTTTTAGCTTGAGTAATATGTACATACACCAAAAAAAACTTAAAACGAATGAACACTTAATCAAATCTATTTAGTAGCTCGTATTTAGCTGGTGATAAGTTATAGTTTAACACAGCCGATCCTAAGCCCGGACAAAGGAAAAGGGTTTACTGTCTATTAGCAGTAACAATTGTGTTTTTATTTTCTGATTCAAATGTATTCACTGTCAATTGGTTATGTTAGCAATATCTTTTTCAGCTTAGTTTGCTACACTTTTTGGCATTTAGTAAGAAAAAACTTTTGAATCTGTTACAATTGTACAGATTTTTATTGTTGCTGGTGTAAAGGAATCACAACATTTCAAAAGAGAGCAATTAGAGCATGGAATACAAACAAAGAGGGCTCGAGCGAGACAACAGAGACCACTGCTGTAAATTAATGCGAATAAAGACAACTGATCAGGTGAATTAAATTCTGTACCAGTAACTCTCTTGGTTTTGATTATTAGGAGTGGAAGTTACAGATTCCATGTATTTGTAGTACCTTCGCTTGCGCATGAATTTGAAACTTTGTTCTATATCACTCAATGGTTCTTTGCCTAAGCATAATCAGCAACTCAAACAGTAAGTTGAGGCAAATAAGCTCATCCACATTCCAAATATTGCTCTTTCAGGTGATAAGCCTACACAGCCATTGTCACAGGAAAAAGCTTGTCAAGAAAGGTATAGACACTTTCACCTCAGAGTAGCGTACCACTGTAAAATGAATGATTTAGAAAGCTGACTGAAGTACAATAAATTTTAGTTATCTTTGACTAGTAGTGCCATTACTTTCATAGATAATTTGCCTGACTCGAATAGCAAGAAGTAAGTGAGTAATGTAGCCAATTGTGTATATTAATAGCAAGCTGCTAATTGGATCCTGTTTTATAAGATTATTAAGAAGCAAATTATTCACTTTGTCCTCTTTCACTATTTGATTTAGAATTGAAATTAGGAATATGTTCCATCTCATTCGGTTTTTTCTTTGTCGCTGCTAGGTTTTGAAGCACCACCTTAATCTGTCCTAAAAATGAAAATTCCTGGAATTACTCGTCTCTGCAATACCGTAAAGCACGTTATGCTGAAGACAAACGACAACATTGCTTGTGAGCCTGAGATTTTTTGTTCTTCTACATAGAGTCTGTTGGAATGAGTAATGATACCAACAGTTCTGTTACTTTTCCACCGTCGATAGTTTAAAGGTATTTCTCTTATTGATTTGGAATTTGACCCTATGTAGGCTAATAAGCAATATTTATTCACTGTTAGGCTCATGCTATTCAATGTATTCTTGCTTTTTTGGTACTACTTTGAACATTTTACGAGCTTGAAACACTGTCTTTCATGCCGGTAGCTAATGTATTCATTTTACCCCGATTCAGAAAATTACTTTATCTTCTTCAGTTTCTTGCGAATTCTCATGTCTAAATTCAGGAGAGAAACCACAGAGCAAAAATATGCTTAATATTTGTTACAATCAACAAACAACTTTAGACTACAAATTGTTGGGCCCATGCGGAGCATGGGCAACGTTATCTAGTTTATATAGAAAAGGCTTGTTTGGTCGACCAACGGCATAAATGACATTTGCTCTGCCATTAATTATTTAAGTATAAAACCGCTTTATTTCCTTCACAATATATCTGACACAAATTCTAGAACTCTCCCTATCTTTCTGAAGTACTACTCTCTTAGTATATCCGTTCTTCTTCTCTAATTTCAGGTAAGTCCTCAATTTTGATTTAATCTTCTTCTACTTTTCAAAAATTTGTTGGTATTACGATGAAAATAATTGTTGCTGTTATTATTCATTTTAACTTTCTCTTCTATATCCTCGTTCATCCCATATTCTAAAGAAAAGTGAACTAGTGAAGGTCTTATTTTGGGCAAAATAGTTTCTAGGTCTTGTGCAATTTCTCGAATTTTAGACTGCTTTGCGAATTTCTGGTTACTATTCGGTAAAGAATAACTGGTATTGTGCAAGACTGCATTTTAGGGAAACACATGCTCCTAAATTTCATGTCACTATCTTCAAATATCCGCTGCTATTAAGGTATCTCTTTTAGGCCTTGTTCTCTGGTAATACGTTTATTGCTCAACTTCAGAGTTCTCCTTCGCTTCTTACAAGTATCATCTCTCTATTTTGGAGTGTTTCTCAACTCTCTTATGTACTTTTTTCTGTTCTTCAGGCCTCTTAGTTAATTTAATGGTAAATATTTTTAGGATTCTCACCTTAAGCTATTCTTAAATTAGAAATCAAAATCTATAGTCTCTAGATTTCTCATATATTTTCATTTAAACCCTATAAAAATTTATCTTTATTGGACACATGTGACATGCTAAATCTTATCCAAAAGAATGAAAGTGGACGATGAGCAGTTAATGGAAGTGGTATAGGTGAGCATCACAATGTTTGTAATCTGTGCAAAGATATAAATATTCGTTGGCATGTGTTCTTCTATCTTTTAGTATTATATGAATGCGCATGTGGCTGTGACTGTTTTAAACTATTCTTTGTATTTAAAGGAGTTACATTTCCCATGCACTTGGTGTATCATTATGCTACCATCAAACCAAGTGATGTCCGGAATCTTAGTGGTAGGTTTTTCATTAATTTGCAAAATCTTGATTATTGGTGTTGTGGCTTACTAGAACGATCAACAGTTGTATTGGCAATCCCCATCACACCAATGTTGCTTTCCTTGCCTTTTTTTTTTTTCTAATGTATTTATCTAGGACTACCTCTATTGCTTGTTTGCTTTCTTTCTTTCTTTCTTTCTTTCTTTCTTGTTCTCTGTTTTTTGTACATTGGACCCATATTATAGGTTGCTAAATATGTTAAGTTTGCTAATGAAATCTTTCATGACTTCTTCTAATGTCTTGTGGTGTAATGCTATCCAGAGGTGTGACATATACCTTGCTACAAGTCTAACCTCATTGGGTTATTAAACATCATATAATGACTTTTAGTTGATTTCCGAAGACACACATGCGACAAATTTTGGAACTGATTCTCTATGTTGAATATGAACATGTTAATATAGGAGTTTGTTCATCAATATTGTAGTGACATGGTTGAAAACACTGACCATATAGACATTTTAATCGGACAGCATTTAACAAATGTTTACATTTAGCCAACTGTTAGTTTTGTTTACCGCAGTGTTTAATTAACATATCATCCCGAAATGAAATGGACTAAGCTCCCGGATCATGAGAAAAAAAGAAAAGTGCTTATTGTTAGCTCTAGGTTTAATCTTTTTTATTTAGTGTCCGTTATCTTTGAGACATGAGATGATGTGATCGTTATAAATGAGTTGCGAGTGTATGCTGAATTTCATTAAAGTGCTCTTTAGCTTTAATATTTTTTTTGGTCTCCTTTATCTTTTGACCCATGAAAGGCTTTGGTCATTTTAGCTGGAATATTTTTTATTGCAGGCATCAAGGATGTCGCTATATTTATTCCTGTAGAATCATGCTGAGAAAAGAGTTGCTAAGGTAAATTTTGAAGCTTAGTTAAATAAAATTGGAAATCTTTGTTTACTTTTTTAAGTTTCAAGAAGAAATACGTATTATCTTTTCTGTTATATTAGGAAATAGCTTAGGATCCCAAATGGATAGCTGCACATATTCATGCTATCTGTTTTAACTATTTTCTTGGTCTATTTTAACTATCAATCTTCAAACAACACATAAAGAGAGACTGGGCATGCGAAGAAATACAAGAACTGTGTAATGTGTTTGTGCAATATTAAGATGCTAGCTCAGTAAGATGATTCGATATTTGTTGTTTTTGTACTAATATAATTATGTTATTTTAGTCACCATGTGTCATTCTACAAGCAAGACATCATGTAGTGTCTTTGTTTCAGGTCTTTAATCATATTTGGAGGGTAATTTATTCCGTTTACCGCATGTGAAAGTAAATATTGCTTTAATTATGGCTTCATGCTGATGCAATGTATAGTACTTCACAGTCCCGACCCTATAATAGTTTTTTTCATAGATTCATTTGTAGATTGCTCTTTTATTAAATTTTACTCTAACAGAAAAGTTAGCATTCTTTCCGATTTCTAAAATATTTATTATTGGTAGATTTTAACTTTCTCTCAATGCCTACAAAACCCTCGCCATTTCAAAATGAAATAACTAAATTTTGGATATGATGCTACAAATTAAGCAAATAAACTAAGATATTCTGTAATGTTTTTTTATGTTTGTGTGTACACAACAACATTTAATATTTAGATACAAATACCAAATTTGCATATGAAGAAAAGAGTAGTACATCCTGAATCTTTGTATTTGAGTGTGAAACAACTTCTGTCATAAAACTTGAGGTTACGAAACCATGATTTGATAGGAATTCAGTTTATATTTCCCAATTTATAAGAATTCTTAATACCTGAAAGAAGAAAAAAAATTTATGCTTGATTTCAAGAGTTTGTGTCCTCGCTCATCTGAGGTAAAATGCAGATAGCAGCAATCTAGGGAAAGCACTCTCAATAATATTTGTGGCACTTTGCTTGACTGACTTACAAGTCTAAGGAGCATTTCTCCTTGACTATTGTTTTAAGCCTGTCTATTATTTTAAGCTCTTAGATGCGAGGCATTTTTCCTTGGTTTTACAATATTTTCCAAGTGTCTTTAAATGAATTCCATTGATAACTTTCTATCCCCACAGGTGTCGAAGAACATAACAGTCATAGTTATCTTCCTTAAAACTCTTTCTATCGTCTTCTTTTCCCCCTTTGTATCTTTTTCTCTTCTAGGAAAAGCATTAAAAACACAATTTTCAGTATGACATTGTCAGAAAAATCCGTTTAGGGGATGATTACTCATTAAAAAATAGGAGAAAGTGCCTTTTCCTTATTTTTTCTTGAAGGAGCTTATCGTTGTCTATTATGTTTTTCTACCATTCCTTGTTATTTTGGTGCCTTTACAGAAATGCTTTTATTTCTGGATCAGTTATGCATTGTGTGGTTTTCTTTTTAGCTCAACCGGAGATTCGCTTCATACTTCATGAACACAAATACGATGTTGCTTGCGTTGTTGTTTAATTTATAAATGAACTTATGACTTCTTAAAAGAAATTTAGTTGCCTAAATTGGTTAACAAAGCAAGTACAAGAAATTTTTGATAGATGCGGACTTGACAAATGTAGGCAAAATTTGCAGAAGACTGTATTCCTAAAATCTTCGGTCCTTCCTTTCAATCAAACGAAGGAAAAATTCTCTTTTAACTACTATTTTCAATTTTATGCAAGCTGTATTTGCATCTCATCCTTCTTGAAGTGCAGGGTTGAAAGCGGTTACATATTTTTTGCATTCATTCTGAATTTTGACAAGTGCTTCTATATACTTGGCATAACCTAGAGGTTTCTACATCTAATGTAATGCTACCAAAGCTTCTTTCTTATTCTTGCTTTTTAACTCCTTTCTTTTATCTGCACTTTTTTGTCATCTGATTGGTCATATCATGTTTCTCTTGTTTTAATCGTCCCTCATGCTTCTGGTCCTTTTTTTTCCATAGAAAAGTATTATGTATTTATTTATTTATTCAACCTTTTATCCTTTTCTACTAAGAATTCTCTCTTTCAGTTCTACAGTAGTGACAAATCTTCTAAAATTTTTTTCTTTCAAACATAAAATGTAAAAGCATTCTTACATGGAATTGTTGCTGAGATGGATTTTTTAATCTAGAATTACTTATTGATCTTATTACGAGAAATGGTTACAGATTTAGATGGAACCATTGCTCGATGCAAGATTAATTAGGGTAGGAGCTTGCTTTCAAGAGAAACTGCAGTATATGGAGAATAGAAAGAACTTTCTCTCTTACACAAATTCTTGAAGCAGTCCGCCCATGTACGTAGTGATGTAACAAACTTGATTCTGTTAAATGGAATAGAAGTACCTATGGTTTTTTCTCAGTTGTTGAAGTCCGTTCTTTTCAAAAAGTACTGGCGCATATGGAACAAGAACTTGGAGGTGTATTTGGAAGAGCAAAACAGCACCAAAATTAATTTTCTTGGAGTGGACTACATGTCATATGACCTAACTCGAGCAAACTTCCCACATGCTGGTGAAATCATATGCTTAAGATGTTAGGTGTGCGTAGAGGAAGCTGAAGTCCATTTGTTCTTCCATGTGCCATTGTTTCTTAGCTTTATTGCATGTTCTTGGATTATAGAAGTAATCATAGTTGGATTGGCAAGAAAGTAAAGAACATCTCAAAAATGTGTGGAATACAATTTCGACCTACATTTTTTAAGTAGTTTTATGTGAAATAAAACCCTGTATTTACCTACCAAAAGAAAATCGTAAAACTCCCTAAGAATGTATTGAACAAGTGACTATATTTTTTCAGGGAAGTTGACCCATCACATATTTCCTACACTTTGTTGTTGTAAACTCCCAATTTTTGTTGGTTCTGATCACCGTAAGAAATTAGAAATTATCTCCCATTTGCAATATGAATATTTCGTTAATTCTTTCTACGCTATTGTAGTTTTTCAGTTTGGTATCTTTTGTTGGGCAAAAGAAGGCAAATGACCATCCCACTTTGAAAAAGAAATATGCATAGCTAAACAAAAAGAACATAAAATCCCAACAGTTCTAAAATCTTATTCAAGATTTGCAACGTTGGGCCCGCGAGTGCGGGCCTGCCTCATCTAGCACTTTGATAAAGGGATAATTACCGCCCAATGTTCATCAGGTAATCTTGTTTACCAGATTTGGCAAAATTTCTCCTTTATTACCTGCGTGGCCCTTTTGACACAATTTCACAAAAACAAAACTATTTATCCTTGTTTACCTATTTATTTTTCTACCCATAAACTAATTACATTTCCTACCCATAGTAGTTTTTGTGGGGAATTTTTTCTTTATTCTCCAATTCTTTTTTATTTCTATGCTTCTTTTTTTCCCTTTTTTTCTTTCTTTTCTCCTTTTCTTTTTTCTCATTTTCTTCCTATTTTTTTTTTATTTTTTCTCTTTTATTCAGTTATTTTTGCCCAAATCGTATTATTGTTATTTTTACCATAAGTTATTTCACACTCAAATTTGACTCCTTCTTTATTTTTTTTATTTTTTTTTCTTTATTTCTTGTTCCTTTTCTAATTCCACGTGATTGCCATGCAAACCTTGATCTCCTTCCCTACAAATATCAGTACATACTCTACCATTAGCAATAACACCAACTAGTGATGGAGCAAGAAAACATAATCTATGGCCACTAAATCTCCATATATACTAGTTAGAATAGAAATGATAATAAAATATTGGAAAATGCAATAAAAATATAAGTAGCAAAAAAGACTTCTAGTACCATATGATACCAATATAGTATACATGTATACCAATAGAGTATATGATTGCTCTAGAATATTGATACAACTATCTGTGACTATACTACTGTACCAAAACATTAAAAGATACAATAAAAGTATGAAAAAATTACATGCTCGCATTGCAAGCTAAATATTCGCAAAGCAACTTGCTCATTCCATATACTAACAAGGTATATATTTATATGGGTCGTTCCAACAATTGTCTACAATTATAAAAACTATTACATAATACACATAATCTATATCCATCAGTACAAAAAAATTCCAGCACTGCAAATCACGTTCATATAAATAATTTCAGAATAGAATTCATTTAAAAAATGCAGCCAAAACAACCAAAAAAATGTTCAAACTACCATATGATACCAATATGGCATATAACTATACTAACATGGTATACAATTTTATTGGTTAATTCCTAGCAACTATGTGACGACCCGGCCGGTCGTCTTAAGAATTAACGCCCCGATCCCCTATTAACTGCTTTTCCCAAGTTTAGTTCTGCTAATTTGATTCGCCGGGATGTTCGGCTGTGAGTTACGGAGAGTTTTGGGACACTTAGTCCCTGAATGAGAGCTTAAGTGTTGGAAAATTGACCGTAGTCGGAATAGTGTGAAGATGGCCTCAGAATGGAAATCTGATGTTCCGTTAGCTCCGTTGGGTGATTTTGGAGTTGAGAGCGTGTTCGGATAGTGTTTTGGAGGTCCATAGCTCATTTAGGCTTGAAATGCCGAAGGTTGAATTTTTGAAGTTTCCGGTTCAATAGTGAGATTTTGATTCGAGGGTCGGAATGGAATTTTGAAAGTTGCAGTAGTTCCGTCATGTCATTTGGGATGCGTGTGCAAAGTTTCAGGTCATTCGGATGTGTTTTGGTTAGGTTTTTGATCGAAAGCGTATTTGAAAAAATTGGAGTTCTTAGGCTTAAATCCTTGATTAGTTCGAGTTCCCAATGTTGTTTTAGGTGTTTTAAGGATTGGTACAAGTTTGAATAAGGTATTAGGTGATGTTGGTGCTTTTGGTTGAGGTCCTGGGGGCCTCAGGATGATTTCGGATGGTTGACGGGAATGATGCAGAAGTGTTGCAGCAGCTGTAGCATTGCTGCTTCTGGTATTTTCGCATCTGCGGCTTGGGGACCGCAGATGTGGCTCCGCAGATGAGGCCAAGGAGACTGCAGAAGCGGATTTTGGTTTGTTTAGTAGGTTCCGCAGGTGCGATGGATATTCCGCAGAAGCGGAATCGCATCTGTGAGTGGAAGACCGCAAGTGCGAAAAATTGGCCATTTAATGAAAGTTGCAGATGTGACACTTGTTCCGCAGAAGTGGGACCGCAGATGCGGTCCCAGGGCTGCAAATGCGGAAATCGCTGGGCAGAATATATAAATAATTGCCTTTGCGAAATTTGGTTATTCTTCCACCATTCTCATCCGGGTTTGGAGCTTTTGAGAGGGATTTTTGAGGAAAACAAAGGGAAATCGATTGGAGGTAATGTCCCTGACTTCATAACTCGTTTTTATGTGATTAAAGACCTAATTAATAATGAGATTTGGGAAAAAGGGGTAATTAGGGTTTGAGTTTATGAGACCTTTGATTGAGGATTTGAGGGGTCATTTGGACTCCGATTTCAGTGTTCTTGTTATGTATAGACTCGTGAGAGTACGAGGTTTTTGAAAATATAAATTTCATCCGATTTCGAGATGTTGGCCTGAGGGGCATTTTGGTCATTTTACATAATTTCGCGTATTAGCTTAGAATTTAATTGTAGAATCAGTTATTTGAAGTGTTATTTACATTACACAATTGAATTGAATAGATTTGGGCCATTCATGGTATTGGGTTGATTTTGAGCCAGTTCGAGGTAAGTGGCTTGTCTAACCTTGTGTGAGGGACCTTCCCCTTAGGATTGGTATATTTGGTAATTGAAATGCCTTGTACGTAAGGTGACGAGTGCATACTTGTGCTAATTGTTGGAAATCCGATTTTCTTAAGTAATTACTAGTATGTTTCCTTTTCTGTTTCTATTTCTCGCATTATTAAGCCTATTATTAGCTTAGGAAAGCATGTCTAAGTGACTTAATTTGCTTTATTTGATTCAACCTGCCTTACTTGAATTTTGTGCAGCATGCTAGGCTAGAATCACTTATTGCCTTAATATGAAATTTTGCCATTTCTGGATAACTTCCTGCTGTTGCTTTGTATTTATTTTGGGACTACGAATGTGGAATTCCGGTAGCTCCCCCTTGTTTGTTTACTTTGGGACTACGGGTTAGATTCCCGGTAGATCCCCCTGCACAGTTATATGGAACTACGGAAATGCACCCAGTAGATTTCCCTAGTACTGGGTATTTACATTTGGTACTACGGATCGGGATTCCGGTAGATCCCCTTCGCATTATGAGTTGGACTATGGGACGGTGTCCCGGAAGATCCATTGGATATTTATATTTGGGACCACAGGACGGTATCCTGGAAGGCGCCCCGGTTGTTATCTCTGTGTTGAGCTGTATTTCTTTCCGTGGCTTGTTTTGTCTTTGATCTAGTTGTTGTTGTTCTGTCAATTCTATGTTATTTCTTATTGTTGCACTTATTTATACTATTTTATTCCATACTGTTAACCCTCATATTTTATTTCACCCCAGTAGGGCCCTGACCTTCCTCGTCACTACCCAAACAAGGTTAGACTTGGAACTTACTAAGTACCGCTGTGGTGTACTCATGCCCCTTATGCGCATGTTTTTCATGTACAGATCCAGGTACCACTTATCAGGCCTACTATCATTGAGGAAGACGAGTGCTTAGAGACTCCGAGGTACATTTGCCGCATCCGCAGACCAAGGAGTCCCTTTCTATTCCCGCCTTTAGTATTTAGCCCTTCTGCACTTTTCTGTTCTTTATTAGAAATTCCGGAGTTAGAGATATGTAGTATTTCTTTCGTAGCTTGTGATTCATGGGTTTTCGGGTTTTGGATTTATGTTTGGTGTTGAGAGTTAAAACATGGAATATGTCGAGCGGCACATTTACACATTGTTATTGCTTTATTCTGTTTTTAAATTATTTTACTTCCGCAAGTTTGGTTATCTTCCGCAAATTTAGGCTTACCTAGTCGTAGAGACTAGGTGCCGTCACGATGGTTCACAGAGGGTGAACCGGGGTTGTGACAACTGTATGACTATACTACTATTACATAACACATATGTATAAAGAGAAAAATAAAAAAATAGTGTACCACATATTAATATAATAAAGTATTTCAAGATATTGTACTATATTACTATTATTAAAAGAAAATTAAATATTGTACTAATAAATGCAGCTAATACAACCAAAGAATGATTCAACTAGCATATGATACCAATATAGTATATAGTTATACTAATAGGGTATATAGTTGGAATGAATTGTATACCAAAATGGTATATTTGTATACTATTTGAGTATATAATACAAATTCGTCTTCTTCTCTTGTTCAACTATATTTCAACTCAAACTTCTAAAATCTACTACAAAATCTCCACCAAATTGACTAAAACTTTAGCTACAACCTCCAATCAACTTTCCAAACAAACCCACATAGGATCGGATCAAAATAATTAAAAATTCAAACAAACCAAGTTATGAGTTTCAAGCTTCAAGGTCCTTCAATGGTGGATTTGAATTTTTGTACAATAAATCTCCAAAAACCAGTTGGGTGAAGAGAAAAAAGAAGGTATTAGTGAGAAACAAGTGTGAATTGCCATTAATGATGAACCCCAGAATACTACAATAAGAGAAGATTAGTAGTTTTTGGTCACATATGTGTGCTTTTTACAGAGATGATATAGGATTTGGATTTTTGATTGCTGAAATTGGGATTGCCGTTTTTGCTTCAAATGAAAAAAGAGCAGAGTGGAGTAAGAGTTGGAGAAGCAGTTGAGCTGGGGGACAAGCTCCACGTGATTCCAATTATTACTCCCTCATATTATTGGAAAATAACCGGATAAATAGTTTGGGCAGTATGGATAGGAGTAGTAAATAGTTTGGACCTTGGCATTAAAGGGTAAATAGTTTGGAATTAATGGGTATAAAGTGAGATTTTCTCATTTTTTTTCTTGATACCGATTCTCTCCTTTTCTTTGCTTTTGTTTCTTTTCACTCATTGGTCATTTCTTCGTGATATACTCCATGTTAGCAATCCCTCTATTATTTTTATTTTTATTTTTATTTTTGGTAAGAGAATGACAAAACGTATTCCTTATTTTGATCTAAAACAATCCTTTAAAGTAGAGTTAACACCTAAACCCCTCAATTACTATATTTTTATTAGTTTTTTACTTAAATAATTCGATGTCCCCAAAGTTCTCGAACTATATTGCCCTTCTTATTACAACCTCCTTGTTGCATTCTTAGAAGTGCGTCTAGTACATGCTCCTAATACAAACGTGCCATGTGACACTACACGTGGCTATTTAACACAGCCTTAAACCCTCCTAAACTATAATGTTTTTGTCAGTTATCTACTTAAACTATCTGGTACCTAAAATCCCCCCGAACTATATTTTTCTATATATTAAAACCCCATATTAAATTCTTAGAGGTGCGTCTAACTATATTAACTTATCGTTTGTACTAGAGATTTTTTGTAGTTTATTCATGATGTATTACTCTCGGATAACTGATTAATTCTAGGAGTTTTAGCAAAAAATAATATTTAATGTAATGAGTTAATTCTAGGTTTGGTTGTGATTATGCTTTATGCTAGACTCCAGTTGAATAAGTCCTTATTTATATTTATTTTGCAACATAATAAACAAAAAATGAAGGTATATAGTGTTGTATTTATTAAAAATCATCTTACATTACATAAACAAAATTATACAAAATGAAATTTCGCAAATAAGAAACCAAACGGCTAGTGACTATATTCTCTAATTCAAGATTACACAAACAAGGTTCAAGGGATTTAACTTTATTATCTACAAGGTGTTAGATTTAATAAGAAAATTTCAAATGAGCGTTCTTTCAACAATATGCATATGATATGAAAGAACACTAAAACAAGAAAGAGAATAAATCATTTTAGAGGAAAAAAAAGAGGAGAATTTTTTTCAAAGGGAGCCATATGGAAAACTGAAGAAAAAAGGAAAAAAGAACAAGATGAAAAAGAGGGTGAAAAATAAAAAATAAAGGTAAAAAATAAGGAAGAATGGTGAAAAATGAGGAAGAAAGGTGGATATAAAGAAATAAGGAGAATATTTAAAAAAAAATATAAGTTGAAAGAGGTTTAGGCTAATTAGCCATTACATATTGTTAGGTGGGGCATTTTGGTGGCTTTTTTCAGTTGGCACACGCTCCCAAGTGAGTTATTACACGCATTATTCCAGGTAAGCAACGAGCTCGTTTACATATGAAGAGCAATATAGTTCAGAGGTATTTTCAGGACACCGAATAGTTTAAGTGGGAAACTGACAAAAAACATGATAGTTTAAGGGGGTTTAGGGTATTAACTCTTTAAAATATGCATTTGAGTAGCTTTAATCTATCTATCTATCTATCTATCTATCTATCTATCTATCTATCTATCTATCTATCTATCTATCTATCTATCTATCTATCTATCTATCTATCTATCTATCTATCTATCTATCTATCTATCTATCTATCTATCTATCTATCTATCTATCTATTTATATCTATACTGTATTAAAAATAGAACGTCCCTTTGCAAAATTTCATCTTTTTTACCCTTTACTAGTCATTTAGTTATTTCTCTAATATTAGGAATAGACATTTAATTATATTTCTAATATTTAAGACTACAAAAATCTACTAGATTTGTTTATTAAATTCATCCCATTTAAACTCTACCATATTTTTAAATGATAAATATTAGCGAATCAGACATTTAACTATTTTTTTTAATATTTAAGATTTCAAAATCTACTAAAGTTTGTGTATTAAATTCTTCCCCATTTGACAACAAGAAATTCTTTTTATATAAACTCTACCATATTTGTAAAAGATAAATATTAGGAGATCGAAAAGGTTTTAAACCAATCCAACAACATACAACAACAACAACAACAACAACAATACCAACAAATCTAGTATAATCCCAAAAGTAGATTTTGGAAGGATAGATTGTATGCAGACCTTACCTCTACCTGATGGAGGTAGAGAGGTTGTTTCCGAAAAATGTTCGGCTCAAGAAAAGATGAAAAAAAGGATGAGTAAGAAGAAGAAGAAGAAGAAAACAAAGAAGAAAAGAAAAAAAAGTAGGGGGAGAAGAAGAAGAAAATGAAGGAATATCACCAAATAGTAGCAAAGGAATATAAGATAACTGAAGTGAATGAAAAAACATGAAGTAAAAGAGATCTAAAAGTAGGAAAATACAAGAGTGATACTAATACTACTGGTAAGAAGTGGGAATTTTTTTGACTATCTACTAACCTTTTACTCTAATTCTCGACCTCTACACCCTCCTATCAAGGGTCATGTCCTCGGCAAGATGGAGCAGCGTCGTGTCCTGCCTAATTATCTCTCCCTAGTAATTTTTAGGCCTACCTTTACCTCTTCTCATCCCCTCCATGGACAACTTCTCACACCTCCTAACAGGAATATCTTTTCTTCTCCTCTTTATGTGCCCGAACCATATCAGCTTCAACTCCCGCATCTTGTCCTCTCGGATGCCACTCTCACATTGTCCCGAATAATTTTATTACTAATCTTGTCGCTCCTGGTATGCCCACACACCCATCTCAACATCCTCATTTTGCTACTTTCAACTTCTGAATATGAGATTTTTTGACTGCCCAACACTCAGTCCCATACAACATAGTCGGTCTAATCACTACTCTATAGAACTTCCCTTTAAATTGTGGTGTCACATTCTTATGACATAAGAGACCGGATACGAGCCTCTATTTTATCCACACCTCACCAATACGATGTGTGACAACCTCATCAATCTCCTCATTATCTTAGATAATAGACCCGAGATACTTGAAACTACATCTCTTGGGGATGACTTGAGTATCAAACTTCACATCCATTTTTGCTTCACGAGTTTCGTCACTGAATTATCACTCTAAGTATTCTGTTTTGGTCCTACCAATTCAAACATTTAGACTCCAGGGTCTATCTCCAAACCACCAGCCTTGATTTAACCCCGCATCGTCAATCAACACTATGTCATCAGCAAATAGCATGCACCATGGCACCTCCCGTTGAATGTGTCGTGTCAGCACATACATCGCTAAAGCAAATAAAAATGAGCTAAGAGTTGATCCCTAGTGCAACCCTATTATAACTGAAAAGTGTTTTGAGTCACCTCTCACAACCCTCACCCGAGGCTTACCACCATCGTACATGTCCTTAATCACCGTAGTGTACGCTACTAGAACATTGCTTACCTCCAAAAGACTTTAAAGAACCTCAATTGGGACTTTATCGTATGTTTTTTTAGGTCAATGAACATCATATGCAAGTCCTTTTCCTTTTCCTATACTGTTCAATCAATCTCCGCACAAGATAAATGGCTTCCGTAGTCGATTGCCCCGACGTTGAATCCAAAATGATTCTCAAAAATAGACACACTCCTCCTTACCTGACTTCCACCATTCTCTTCCAAACTTTTATAGTGTGACTCAGAAGTTTGATGCCCCTATAGTTTCTATAATTCAGGATATCACCCTTATTCTTGTACAACAAAATCATCGTACTCCACCTCCAATCATCAAGCATCTTCTTCATTCTAAAAATTATATTAAACAACTAGTAAGCCACTCCAAACCTATCCAGCCCGTGTTCTTCCAAAATTCCCCTGGTATTTTATCTGGCCCAATCCCTCTACCTTTGCTCATTTTACACATCGCCCCCTCGACCTCCTCTGCGTTAATATGCCTACAATACTCAAAATTACACCGACTCTCAACGCAGTCCAACTCACCAAGCACAATGCTTATGCCCCCTCCTCATTCAATAGTTTATGAAAGTATGTTTGCCATGTTGATCTAATATGTGTCTCTTTTATCAATACTTTTCCTTCCTCATCTTTGATGTAATTCACTTGGTCCAAGTCACAAGCCTTCCTCTCCTTCACCTTGGCTAACTTGTATAGCTTCTTGTCCCCGTCTTTGCCCTCAAGTTCCTCATACACACCCAGTAGATCTGCTGAGAACACATCTAGAAAGTCTCTCACTGCTGAAACTGACTTAACGGTAGGAGTATCAACACCAACATCCCTCATAGAGGCTAAATATGCCAAGAACCCCTTCTCGACCATTCGTCGCGCCTTCAAATAAGATACCACCTTACTGGGAAAATAAACAAATGAACCTCTCCATTCTAATCTCGGCAATCCCAACATCACCAACGTCATGGTCTTGGCGTGACAATCCAGAATGGCGTGTGACAGCTAGTCCATTCCCAAAATAATATTAAAGTCCACCATGTTGAGTAAAGAAAGATTTTTTCTAGTCTCGTAACCCTCGATAGAAACCACACATGAGCGATAGACGTAATCTACCACGATAGAATCTCCCTTAGGCATAGACACATAAATAGGAGCACTCAATGAATCACGAGACATATCCAAATATGGGGAAAAATAGGATGACACACATGAATAAGTGGAACCCGAACCAAATAAAACTGAGGAATCTCTATGGTAAATTGGAACAATACCTGTGATGACCGCATCAAATGACTCTACGTCAGTTCTAGCTGGAAATACATAGAAATAGGGCTGAGCCCCACTGGTCTGACATCCACCTCTCAGACAACCTTTCCCTGGCTGGCCTCCACCTCTAATGACCTGACCACCACGTCGGGCTTCCTAATCCCACCTCTTGCTAGCTAAGTGAGCGGTGGAGCAACTGGTGCCAGAACCACGACACGACAACCCTACTAAGGAAGTACCTCCTGATATGACCTGCCCCTCCACACTCAAAGCACTCTCTCGACTGATGTGGTTGCTGAATCTAGGACTGAACCTAACGACCCGGATAACCATTGTGATAGATTTGAATCGTTGGTGCACTAATGGGACCTGGAGGTTCATTGTAGGCTAACTGCTCAGGACGAGACCAATAAGAACCACGACTGCCCGAAGTACCGTGTTATGCCTGAAGTGCTTACTAAACCGACCTGATAGGATGGCCTCTACCAAAAGAACCCTGACTTCCAGATCATGTATCACTAAAACCACTAAAATGTCGAGGCCTCTTCTCAGAAGCCGCCTCTCTGCCCTGACTACGAACCCTCTCGATCCGTCTAGCAATCTCTTCAATGCAGTTGAAAGAAATATCATCCTTAGTCTATTTATCCATTTGTAACATGATACCATAAGTAAGGCCATCAATAAATATCCCCACCCTCTCCCTCTCAATAGGGATCATGACAGCTGCATGACAAGATAAATCAACAAATCTGGTCTCGTACTGGGTAACAGTCATGCTACCCTACTAGAGGCGCTCAAATAGCTACGGTAGTCCTCTCTCAGAGCAAAAGGGATGAATTTATCCAAAAATAATGGTGAGAACTGATCCCAAGTGAGTGGAGGTGAACTTGCTAGTCTGCCTCAAACATACTCCTGCCACTACCACTTGGAAAAATCATGCATCTGAAACACTGCAAAGTCGACTCCATTGGACTCCACAATAACCATGTTATTATAAACACTTCATGGCAATGGTCTATGAAATCTTGTGGGTCCTTAGAAGGTGTGCAACCAAGCGAATAGGAAATAACTTAGTGAACTTGTCCAACCTCTTCATCCCTTCGGACGACTTAGTGGGGCTCTCCATGGGATGAGTAACAATGACAGGCTGAACTACTCCCACTACTGAGACTGCCGGAGTTTGATATCCATGAGCCATTTGCTCTAGGGTATGAATGGTGGAAGTCTCGGCTCCTCCCCTAGCCTGAGAGACAGCTGGTGCCATAAGAAGTACTTCGACCTGGGCCACACTCTCCATAAGGACGACCAGACGGACTAGAGCGTCCTGAAGTATGGGAGTGGTTATAAACCCTACGGGACTTGAGCTGGTCCAACTGGTGTAGTCTGAATAGGGATGTCCTCCTCCTGTTCGATCCGAGGCTCTATAATAGGTGTTACTGCACACGCTCTAGGCTGAGCTCTGCCTCTGCCTCGACTCTTAACTCGGCCCCGACCCCTACCCCTAGTGGTAGCTGCAGCTTGGGGCCCGCTGTGGATGATGTGCGTGTCCTCACCATCTTTGAGAGAACAAGAATAGAATAATTTAAACTCAATGATAGAATAAAATCGCACGATAGAGAAGGAAAAAAATGAAATTTTCCTAAAGCCCTATAGCTTCAAGAAGATAAGTGCAAACGTCTCCATACCGATCCTCCAGACCATACTAAACTTGTGAGACCTAGGCAACCTAGTGCTCTAATACCAACTTGTCACAACCTAAAATCTCAACCACGAGTCCATGATGGCGCCTAAACGTCCACTTACTAGGAAAGCCAACATTAGTACACAACAAATCATTTTTAAACCAATTTGAAGGCAATTTAACAAGAAACAAAGCTGTAGAAATTCAAAAGAGATATAATAACTTCAAACGCTGACTAATCAAATCCCGAAATCTGGTATCACAAGTACATGAGCATACTAGAAGTGCTACAACCAATGTCTAAATGAAAAAACAATTGTTTAAAACAAAATAAATAATAAAACTAGATAAAGAAGGGGGCTTCAGGGACTGCGATCGCCATGTAGCTCTACCTCAAGTCTCCATGAAAAGCTTATCCGAGTAAGCCTCCTCTAATTGTCGCTGGGGCCAATACCAGAATCTGCTCAAAAAGTGCAGAAGAGTAGTATGAGTACAACTAACCCCATATACTCCGTAAGTATCGAGCCTAACCTCGACGAAGTAGTGACGCGGCTATAACAAGGCACTCACTATAAACATGTATGAATATAAATGAAATAATATCAGAAATAGAGAAAATAAGAATTTAACATAAAACTGGAACTGAAAACGCATAACAGAGGCCTAGAATAACACTTATGCTCAACTTCTAAATTCAACACGGATACAGTAACAACAGTTAAACACAATAAAATATGTCTTCTCCGTTGCGGCATACAATCCGATCCAAAATAGTAATATCAATATCCGTTGCAGTGTGCAACCCGATCCCACACAATAATACCAATAATCATTGGAGTGAGCAACCAGACCCCAAAAAATAATAGTATAAATGGACAACCTCAACCAACTACGACGTATCTCAAATAAAATGCAATAAGATAATTAAAGACATAAAGCGGATAAAAGAAGCTATCTAATAACATACAAGGCCTTAAAACAAGTAAAAGCAATTAATAAATAAAGACACGGATACATGAAAATAATTAGCAACTTAAGGCACGTAACGGAAAAAAACGCATGAATTTGACAAGTAAGGGCAAGTAACAATTAGAGCATTTAACAAGTAATAACATGGATTAAATAAAAGCATAAAATGATTGAAGACAATAAATAAATATCCCAACCCCCATGCTTAACCCGTGACTATGCATATACACTCGTCACCTTGCATATACGCCATCCCCACACATAAATCAAGTAACAAATAAACCAATTAGGTTCTAATTCCCTCAAGTCAAGGTTAACTACGACACTTACCTCTTCCCACAACCAAATCAATGATCAACCACGACTTTTCCTTTAGAATTAGCCTCCAAACCAATCAAATATAGCCAAATATAGTTCAAATAATTCAAAATAAGCTTTAGAAATTACCTACAAGTGAAATATTCAATCTTTAATGAAATCGAAAAAAGCCAACAACAGTCAACCACGAGCGCGCTTGGTCAAAATTCGAGATTCAGACAAAAGACTGATTACCCATTCACCCCCGAGCCCGGTTATGCGATTTATTTTAAAATCTGACCTCAATTTGAGGTCTAAATCTCAATTTTATAAAATTCCTAATTTCTACCCAAAACCCCTAATTTCTACCATGAAATTCATAGATTAATTTTAAAAATCAATGGGTGATTATCGAAATACATCCAATATAGTTAAAAATCACTAACCAATGAAGTTGGGATAAAAATCTCCTCAAAATCCTCTCTAGTTCGAGCTCTAGCTTTAAAAATGGTGTTGAATGAATAAATCTCAACTTTTCGCTATTAAAATAATTGGGTGTAAGGTGTTCTTCGCATTTGCGAAGCACTTGACGCGTTTGCGAAGTCTGGACCAATTTCCTTCGCGTTCACGAAGTCTACATCGCGTTCGCAAAGGCTTATTCCCCAGCCTGCCTTCACGTTCGTGTACCCAGGTCTGCATTCACAATGACGATCCCTGCCACCCCTCCAGGTCATCCCCAAAGTTTTAAGTTCGCGAGTGGCCGACCGTGTTTGCGAAGGGTAATGCCCCGTATACTTCACGTTCGGGACCTGCCTCTCACGTTTATGAAGAGTAACCATCCCTAGCCCAAAGTTTCCCCTTCGCGATCGCGAAGCTCTGGAAGCAAAACCAGCAGTTCCAACATTGTTCAAAAATGGTCCGAAAGAAATCCGAAACTCACCCGAACCCGTCGGCTCCAAACTGAACATGCACACAAATGTAATAACATCATATAAACTTGCTCGCTACCTCAAATCATCAAAATATTATCAAATAATGAGAATCTATCATCAAAACTCAAGATTTCAACTTGAAAACTCATTTTTACATTCTTTCACATAATGCGCCGAAATGCGCTCGGGTCATCTCGGACCCTAACCAAACGTGTGTACAAGTTCAAAAATATCATACAAACCTACCGGAATCTTCAAAATATCGATCCAAGGTCGTTTACTAAGAACCTTGACCGTGGCCAACTCAAGTTATTTTTAAAGCCAAAAATCACATTTTCTTTAAAATTAACGTAGAAACTTTTTAAAAAATGATACGGACCACGTACACAAGTCATATAACATCTAATGAAGCTATGATAGGTCTTGAAATACAGAAATAAGGGCTAGTATTCAAAACAACCTATCGGATCATCACATGATCTTAAAACCTAGGGGGCCATTAGGGTTGCTTGGAGGCTACTCTACCCGAAACTTTAACTTGGAGGCTACTCCATCCGAAAACCTACCTCACATTTATAAAAGGAGTCACATATTCCCTTTTAAAGCATCTCACAATTATAAACTCATGGAATACTGATCACGCCCAAATGCAAGCCTCTAAAGTGGTATGACACAGTCATTTGCAATAATATTAAAAGCCAACAAAGAGTCGGGATTGAGTCCTCGGTGAGCTAAGATGGGAGCTAGGAGTATATATTCATAATGAGTAAGTGAAGTATCTAGATTGCACTTTCACAAATAGGTTTTATTTCTACTTCTAA